CACTGAGGTACGGGCTGGGGACACCAGGGAGGACACTGAAGTACGGGCTGGGGGCGCTGTGCCCACGGAGGACACCAAGATATAGGTAGGGGGACAGCGCTTGTGAAGAACAAGGTGTGGGGTGGGGGTACTGGGAAGGACACTGAGGAATGGGGTGGGGGCCGTGCCCATGGAGGAGACCAAGGTATGAGGGGGGGGTACCCACGGAAGACACCGAGCTGTGGGGTGGGGGCTTGTGCCCAGGGATGACATTGAGGTATGAGGTGGGGGATCATGCTGCTGGAGGTCACCACATTATGAGGCAAGAGTCCATGCCCACGAAGGACAGCGAGGTGTGGGGTGGGGGATCATAACTGTGATGGACACTGAGGTATGGGGTGGGGGATCGTGCCCAGGGAGGTCACCAAGATACAGGTTGGGGGATCATGCTCGTGGAGGTGACTGAATTATGGGGAGGGGGCCTGTGCCTGTGGAGGACACTGAGGGGTGGGGGATTGTGCTCGTGGAGGTCACCAAAGTGCAGGTTGGGGGACCGTGCCCATGGAAGTCACCAGATTATGGGGTGGAGGATCATACCTGTGGAGGACACCAAGGTGTGGGGTGGGGGATCATGCTCATGGACGTCACCAAGATACAGCTTGGGGGACTATGCTCGTGGAGGTCACCAAATTATGGAGGGGGAGGCCCATGCCCGTGGTGGACACTGAGCTGCAGGTTAGGGGATCACACCCCTGGGGGTCACCAAGGGACAGGGTGGGGGGCTGTGACCACGGATGGCACCGAGGTACGGCGTGGGGGTCCTTGCCTGTGGAGGTCACTGAGGGCTGGCGTGGGGGATCACGCCCAGGGAGGACACCAAGGTACCGGGGCGCCGGGCCGGGCCGCGCAGAGGGACCATCTCGGCATCCCCCGGCTGCCTTGCAGGTGGAGGCGCGGACGCTGGCCATGCTGCGCGGGCTCCTGCGCCAGCTCCACGCCGCCTGCACCCGCCTGGCTGCCGCCGCCCGGATTTTCCCCAGCAGCGTGCAGGAGACGGCGGGACACATCCGGCACGGCGTGGAGGGCGTGCAGGCTTCCCTCTCCCACGCCCGCTCCTTCCACGACCTGTCGGGTTTGGTGCTGGCGCAGAGCCGGGAGACGGTGACGCGGGCGCAGTTGAGCATCGACGAGCTGCTGGAGTACGTGGGGCAGCACGCGCCCCTGCCCTGGCTG